TTTTTAAATAGCAAACTTTAAGTAGGAAAAAAAAATCATTAAGCCCATATTTCTGTATTATTATTTTTAAAAATGTTTTAATAAATGCTCTGCTTTCATTAGCTGAGTGGCAAGTCATCTTATCGAAGTAATTAACGTGAATATGTTTCACTTATGTTACTAAAATATATGACTAATTTATTAAATATGACTATATATACAGTATACGACATTTCAAATGTAAACATACTGTAGATGTACAACATATGACATCTAAATGAATTAATTAGCAATTTTGATGTTTCTAATTTTTATTTATTTATTTATTTTTTTTTTGTATGAGGTTTTCTCTTTCTTGCTGTCCCAGCCTTGGCTTAAATTAATCTCTCACCTTGCGGGAGGAATTAGCGTCCAGTCGATCTCTCTGACCTGGATGTTCTGGGAAAGCTATCAGGTTAGCAGTATCTGTTGTTATCTGATTAGCTGAGCTCTGGGCCCAGCAGACATAATACACCGTCCACAATTTCACAGCAGCTCAGTTTACTTCAGTAACGTCTCATTCCAGGTCCGTCAGCAGCTTCCAGACTCACTAACAAACTGCTCTCCCTCTTCTTCTCTGGTCATTTACTTTCCCCTCGTTCGCCCCTTTTTGTCCGGCTTTTTCCACACCGACTGTCATTAAAGCAGGTTTGTTTCCAGCTTCACGTCTGCGGTGTTTGTTTATACGCTACTGACCTTTCTGGGTGTGCATATAAAAGTACCTGTTTTTTTTTTGTTTTTTTTGCATCATAATTCCACGTTTTGCATAAAATAAGACGCCTGTTGCCAATTTTAAATGTGTGCTGATGGCTAACAGTACGAGCAGCTTCCAGCTGTCGGACGGCGCCTTGTTTGCGGAGATTCACCTGTCCATTTGCACCTCTCCTCCAACTTGACATCCTCTTGCTTCTCATCTTGTCTCTGGTGCTTTTGGGAGAAAAGATTTGGTTTGTAGAGCGGTTAATTTATTCCTGTTTCTTTCCCAACTCTGCCTTGTACCACAGAGAAATGAGAGAAGGCAAACAGGGAGGGGGGGAGAGAGAGGGGTGAGCACGAGCTGTTTTCCTTTCATGTAACTGCAGAAGACAGAAGCAGATGGATGACAGGCTCAGCTAGCACTGCCTGGGCTCCCTAAACACACTCGGATGCGAAATGCACACACATATGTTGGAAATTAGAGAGACAAACTAAACTTTTGTTATTTTAATCTGACAAAACCTTGATGTTTATGATTTCTCATATGCCAGTCATGGCTAAGTAATGTATTTGCATGCATGAATGAAAATGGACCGATTTCCAATCTGCCAATTTTTGTAGGAACCTTCACCTGCTGATTCTAGTCAGTTTAAGAACTGCTATAAAAATATTTCATATTTTTCAATATTTTCAATATTGAAAAATTTGCTTTGCTTTATTTAATGCCCATTAAAAGGGCCAGCTTTGCATGATTTTGTAAATAATGACAATTTAATGCAAAGTTGGCATTTTTAATGGACTTTTAATGCAACTTTTAGAGCAACTTTGCATTAAGAGTGTCATTATTTACCGAATGACACTTCATGACAACAGTCATAGACATTCATAAAGACTTCTTTATGTTTTTGACAGAGTCATGTCAGTCTTATGCACACCCCTTCAAATAAAGTGTTACCCAAATACAACGCTTGGCATTATTTAGACTTCTACGAAATAAATAAATAAATAAATAAATAAATAAATAAAAAATGGCGGATAGCATTGTGCTGCTTCTGCTATATCTTGTCAGTGTACACAAATTCTGAGAAGGACATGCTAAAATCACAGCGCCACATTGTGACCTGGCATGAAGACTGCAGCGGATTCATGGCGATCTCGTCTGAACGGAGAAGCAGTGCCATCTGAACGTGGAGCTTTCCCCCCCCCCCCCCCCCCCCCAAACAACATCCGAAAATACCGTCAGTTTCCAGACAGCAGTCGTGTGCAAACAAAGCCTCACGCCGCTTAGGTGTTGAATCACATCAAACCAATCTGACACTGTGGTAAAACGGCTGCGGCAGAATAAGTGGATGCATCCTTCTTTCTGTTGAGAGCTTACTGCGAACAGCAGAAACCTCCTGCTTAATCCTGAGTAACTAACAGAACCGGCGCTTCTTACACTTTGTTCAGAATTGGAAATAATATCACATGATCCGTCTGTATTTCACTTGCAGATTGGAATACAGTCCGATGTCTTGTTGCCTACTAATAACACTTTATTATTAACACACCATAGTCCGTGTTGATCAAAGTGATTCCAGTACCACACTTAACTTGACATGAGCTGCTATTGTTACATGCAATCTACCCTATTTTGTTGCAAAGCTGTCAGTTAATCAGATCCTAGCAAACAGTTTTCACAGCAACTCTAGGAATAAAGCTATGTATTACCATTGGTGAGTTATAGCTTCAGTATTTTAGGAGAATTTTTTATTTTTTATTTTCACATTTTGAAGACCTTGTAGCGCTAGTGGCCTTTATTCATTAGTAGGTTGACAGGATGAAGGGCAGAGAGAGAGGGGAAGCGAAGGCTCATGGAGGACAATAGCCTCTGCATGTCCTGCACCCGCTCTTCCACTGAATCTGGCAGCACAGACAGAGAGAATTTTAGATTGGGAAAAAAAAATAAAATTAAAAAAGAATGTTCTCATTTCTATTTAACTTCTGTTATCCAAGTAACAACAATGAACTGATAATAGGATAGAGCAATTGTTTGTAGAAATGTTTTTGTTTTGCTTTTTTTTGATAAATTGAAATCATTTCAGGGTCTTTGTTCACACGGAACAAAAACTGGAGATTGTCATGACAGCAAAATGAAGCAGACTTTTTTTTTTTTTTTTTTACAAATATTATTCTTTTTCTTGTTATGGCATCTAGAGGCTACAACATGCAACTAAAAGATCATTTTCAATGAAAATATTTAACTTATTTTAAGCTCTTTGCGCTTAACAGAGGAAACAACAGCTACTTACCATTCAACTCTTCTCAAACCTGTCCTAAAAAGTAGCAACCAATTAGTAGCTGGATCACAGCGTCTAGTTCTGCAGTTCAAAAAGTCAAACAGTATTTCATCCAGCTGCCAAATTGGACATTACTTAGCAAACGTTTATTTAGCAAATGTTTATCGCATGTATAAATACAGATAACATACATAAAAACTTAGGAATTCACTCGATTCCATCATTTTACCTCATTGGTCAGGGGAATCAAATCTCCCTCTCTACCCCGTGTAGCACCATTGTGCCAGCGAGAATATATTTCTCCGTAATTTGCGCACACAAACATCACGGCAACACTGATCACAGTTGAACGGGACCAAGTACGTTGGTGCGTGTGCGAGAGATTTAATATGACAGAAGTGCTGATAAACAGTTTCTCACTGAAGCCGTTTCAACTTTTAATGCACGAGGCGGCCCAGTCTGGTTTTTAATTCAAAGCTGATCATTTCCCACTGAGTTTTCAGGATCCAGTAGAGAAGGAGATACGCAGTCATACTGCGGCAGCACAGCTCGTAAAGTCTTCTTTAAAGACGGAAAATGAGTTCAAACGTGGATAAAATGGGACACTAAGAGGACAGTTAACATACAAGACCTCAGCGTTTTTAAGAATCATTTTATCTTTTAGGTAGTTGTGTCTCCTCGTTGTGTTTCTGCTGTGCTGGACTCATGATTGCTCTGAAATATTGACCTCTTCGGGAGCAGTTTCCACTCTCTTACTTTATATGTTAGGATATTTTTTTTCCTTGTGGAAATAAAGCATTCTAGATACAACTTTTCTATTTTATTTTCGATTGCAGGGATTTGTGCTTGAACATTTTTCACAATAGAGCGAGATTTGTTGCGAAAATGAGTTTGTGCTTTTTATTCCAGCACTGCTTATATGTGTCTCTGTATCTCCCTTTACATCTTTACAAGCCAGAGGCCTTTTATCACTCTCAGACAATCTGATATATATATATATATGTATAAAAGACACTACATGGACTGATCTGCTGCGTGGTACATGTGGTGTGTACAGTACTTATTTATTTATTTATTTTTTCCCCAGCACTTTAAAAAAAAGCATGTCTGTTACAATGCCTCGTCTCTCCTCTGCATGCAGAGCTGCAGAGTCTCATCGTTGGGTGTGTGCTTCCTCCTCAGGCTTCTTCATGTCAAAGTCAGTTTGCACTGACATGAATGTGACAGAGCAGGCAGAAGGAGCAAAACTAAATAAGAAAAAAAAACACACAAAAAAAATCTCTCTACTGGTAATTCAAAAGGCCGTCTGCTCAAAAATGAAAATAGTAAAATACATACATATATAAAACTGTATGTGTGAGAATAGCAGCCTTTGAAGCCGAAGAATATCTGATGAGTGCAGCGTGTAATTATAGCACGTTTAGGGAGTCACTGTTTGTCGTGGCGGGTTTTAGGTGGGAGGATGAAGATTGAAGAAGTAAAGAGCTAAAGAGTGTCGTTGGGTTGTTGCCTCGGGGTAAAGCTGCTGTCAGTTTACTGCCAAGAAAGCAAAAAGGCTGTTTTTTTTTTTTCATGACAGCAGGAGAGGAATCACGAGCTGAAACAGAGGTACACGAGCAGAAGTGTCATCCGAGTTTACAAAAAGTCAGTTGTTTTTCTCTTGCCAACTTTTTGTGCAAGGAGTCTTTCAACTATGAACATGCTATTTGTTTAAAAAAAAAATCGGAGGGGGATCAGTGGTGAAGGAAACCAAAAAAAAAAAAAAAAACCCACACAATTCATCAGGAGAGTGCAATCCATTCAAACCGAGCCTCAGAAATAACATCAAAGCAACACCGTATAGGTTGCTGGAGCAACAGGTGGTGAGGCTACCCCAGGGGTCAAACTGGAACAGGAAGATGCATCTAGCACACAGATGTCTCAATAAAAAAAAAAAAAAATTAAAAGGCGCATGTTTTTATTTTTTTCTGCACAAACACAAGCAAACCCTCTCTTGTCCACCTGCAGGAGCACTGCAAATCGAAAACAGCGAGGAGACGGACCAAGGGAAGTACGAGTGCGTGGCAAACAACTCCCAAGGCGTGCGCTATTCCTCCCCAGCAAACCTTTATGTGCGAGGTAGGACCCGAACACGAAACACCTCTACACACGTGGACAGACAAAAGGAAAAAAAACAACAAAAAAAAAAAAAAAAAGCCTCGGTTAAGGTTCTCTTTTTAACGAAGCTACCTCTTTTCCATGACTGTGCTGTTAAACGAGTATTACTAACCCATCCATTGTCTATAATATATGTTGACCCTGTTCTTTTTTTGGTATTTTTCACAACCACATTCCACCTTAAACCTTGGTGTGATCTCGTACAGTAAAGGAGACCCAAAGTGAGCCCATGCCTCGGTTTAACTGCATGGAAACATCTCTGATCTTACTACTAAACTGATTTCTATACTAGAAGGCAGCTTACAGAGAAAATACGGCGTCTTGCTAAAGCATTCACATACCTCGAGCCTTTGCAGATTTTGTCATATTACAACCACAAACGTCGATGTATTTTATTGTAGCAAACCAACACGTAATTGTAAATGCCTGCTTTTTAAATGCATGTTTAACAAACGAACATATAAAACATTTATATGTATTCTGCCGGCTTTATCCTGATGCCTCTGGAAAGAAATGTAGGTCAGCCTTAAGCAGTCGGTTAAGAATTCAGTTCACCTGGGTTTAATTTAAATTCGGGATAAAATTAGCCAACCTGTGAAGGCATCAAAGACTTCCTGAAAGAGCATTAGTGGGCAAATAGGATCATTAAGACCGAAGATCTTTAGCTTCAGATATCTCATTGATAGCCTTTTAATGCATCAACGGACAGGCCAGAAACGGGAGCATTAATCAGGCAGAACTTTTTTCTTCAAGTTGGTGAGGCTGGGACCGTTTGCTCAGGGCAGCCCACAACTGATTGGCACCAGAGCCAATTTGCTTTTAAAATAATTCAATAAGGACAGAACATATTTGTATTGAAGATATTGCTGTATTAATAAACGTAGGTCTAAATTGATATGATCACTTCTGCCACCACCTGTTTGGGAGGGGAACTGCTTGTTCCAGAGGAGGTTTTGTCTTAAATACGTGGAAGAAAATGGCCAACATGCAAAAACTATCACTGCTACATCACTGAAGCTTAGTCATGGCAGCGTAGTGCTGTGGGAATATGTTTTTTTTTTTTTTTCTTGACATTTCCGTTTGTGGTTGTAACGTGAACAATGCGAAAAGGTTTGAGCCGTGGCTAATTTTGCAAGGCACCGTGCTTTGATTTTAATCGCCAAACCAATAAAGATTGGCTGAACTTTCGCAATCTCTCTCAACGAACCGAATGCAAACTCTGCCCTGGGTGCTGGTGTCCCACGTAGGCTCACAAACGGCGCCCGACGTTCTGATTCGAACGTTCGGGTTCTTTGTTAACGTGGCTTATCAGAACACTGTATGTATGTGCTGTGTGAGGTTCGTGCAGGAGCGTTGTGGTGAGGCGAGAGTGGCTTTGCGCTGGCCGTTTTTATTCTCTCTGTGTTTCCTCGTTCTCTCTCTTCCCCCCCCCCACGTCATTGTGTTCTGCATCAACCCCCTTCCATCCCTCAGAGCTTCGAGAAGGTTGGTGCGCTCTTTTCTTTGCTTTTGTTACTCCTTTGTTTCAGAAAGCGTCACTTATTGAAACAGCAGGAACCCCAAAAAAAGAACAAAAAAAAAAGGGGGAAAAAAAAAAAAAAAAAAAAAGTAGCTTTAAAAGTGAGACATTTAAACCGTGTGTCCAAAAATGAGGAGAGCAAAGCTGCTGCGAAGATGACGAAGCGGTCCGCCCATGCAGCAGAGTGCCTTGACTGCATTGTGAGGCCTTGTGTGCAGAACCCTTGGTATTGCCTTCACTCCCCGATCAATGTTTTCTGCATGGTATGATCTTGTTGTCATGGAGACCCAAGAATTGGAAGATTAAAAAGAGGCAATGTTTGCATGGAAGGAGTGAGAGAGAAAGAGAAAGGAGCACCGCTTGCATGGGTGTTGACTGACGGACTGACACAGGAGCATGGCGCAATGTGTGTTCACGCCTAGTGATATGCTCGGATTGTGATATTATTGAACCTGCAGCCTTGTCGTGTATCGCAGCTCTTTTTTTTTTTGTTTTTTTTTTTTTGCCCTTTTTGTTATTGTGGAGTTTTTTTTTTTTGTTTTTTTTTTTTACCTTTGTGTCCCTTCTCCCATGTCATCACATCTTGCTCAAGTTGTTGCACTGACTGGGAATGTTGCACTCGCTGTAAAGCTTCTACCCCTTTTTGTTCCGAAGTTTTATTGTTTGGTCGGTCAGTACCAGTTGGTTCTTCGGGGCTAAGTCCATAACACGAACTCAAGATGTGCAAGGGAATAAAACCTAACTCGAGCACTGCATATTTGAAACTGCTGCAAGAGTAAAGTTTAAACATTGCTGACCACTCTGCTGTACTGCAGAACTGTGTGTACAGAGTATTCTATGTGGGAAGTTTTCACGATGAATCATTCTTGGTCTGGTTACCTAACAGGTTTAAAAAAATACTTAAACTATGTAAAATGATGGCAGGATTTACTAATGAGTGCTCTACTTAGCAAAACAAAATATATTTTTAAAAGTGGAAAAAAAAATATCTGCACCCATTTCAAAAAATATTCTGAGGAGATCTTAAATTCATAGCGTAAGGAAAGTACACATTTATATTCTAGTTTTTTTTTTTTTTTTAGATTGCATTCCAAGAAACATTTACAATTTCTGAACTTTTCAAAATTTTTTTCACTCTAAAAATTGAATTTTGTTGGAATTTTATGCGATACATCAAAACTCAAGTTGGAATATCTGGCAAAGAATCTCGCGCTACACAAATCAGACCTCTATGGATAAGACAAAAAGCCATTAAAGGTCCTGTCTAAAGTTGGCTACAAGCAATGAGTCCAAAATATAATTTTATGAGTAGAATAAAAAAAAAAATGAATAGTACATATCACCCTGAACACACCATGCTCAATGAAACATGATGTCAGCAGCATCATCCTTTTCTTCTTAATCAGGGAGGAAGTCAAGGGAAAGATGGATGGTGCTAAATACTGGGCAATCTTGGGGAAAAAAAAATTAAAAAGACATGAGACTGTGGCAGAGGTTCGCCTTCCAGCAGCAATACAACACAAAGCAAACGGCTTGATATATTATCTCAAAGTTTATTCATGCGTGAGAACGGCCCAGTCAAAGTCCAAAGCTAAATTCAGTTGTGGTTGTGTTGCAAGACTTGAAAATCAATACTCACGAAGATTCTCCATCCCGTCTGACTTAGCCGGAGCAATTTTGTAAACAAGAGGAGACTCACATTTTAGTCTCTAGATGTGCAAATGCTGGTAGAGTCGCACCCTCAGAGCCGCAGCTGTGCTGCAGTGAAGGCTGCTCTTCAAAGATGTTTGGAAAGCTACATACAAATTGCACACCACAAACAAAAATATCTGGAAGCTATCTCCTTTTTTGTTTTTCTTCTTCTTCACTTCTTTGCACTACTTTGTGTTGGTCTTTTACATCAAATCCAAGTACGCTCCCTTGAAGTTTGTGGCTATTATGTGGCAAAACATAAAAACCTCAATTTGTATAAATATTTTTGGAAGTCACCATGTGGCATAAAGGGCTTTAGGGGTTGTACTTAATCTTTTTTTTTTCTTCTTCATTTTGGATTTATCTTCGTTTAGATAAATATAGCATTGTGAATCTGCAGCGCCTTTGTTTTGTTCCCTCGAGTTTTCACTTTAGAACGATACATTAAACCGACACAGTTGAAAAAAGGCCATGCTTTCATTTCGCCATGACATCAGATGCTGATTGTTGATCAGTCTTCTGATAATAAGCCGGATGGGCCTGCTATTCCATAGCCTGAGGCGATTTTCAAAATAAATGCTATAAATACATTTTAAGATTCATCTGAAACATTCCCCCCCACCCATTTCAGCCATGCAGTAATCTTTACAAGCAGGATAACATCTGCTTTTTAGTACGGTGCTGTCTGAGGGCCTGTTATCAGTGCTGGTTTTCAGCCTGCAGACAGAGAGATTTTCCCCAGATGCTCTGAACCTATTAACGTTACGCACGTTAAACGGTGAAAACCCCTTAATTCTTTGCAATTGTGCTGCGAGAAAAGAAAAAAAAAATATATATATAAAACATTTTCAACGTGTTTACTCGTGCACCCACACAGTGTTTGAACAAGTGTTCAACCGAGCACTCTGTTCAGTTTATCGGTTCTGCTCTTTTTCTAATAAATTTTATAGACCTGTTCCTAATTACCCAATTTACTTCTGAGAGCTACAAGAAGGTGTTTATTTTAGCTTTACAGACCTTGTGCAGTGGTTTTATATCTTTCTTTGCTTTTTATTAGCTATATGTATTTATCACATTGTAAATACATTCAAAGCAAGCAAATATTTGGATGATTCGATTTAGACGGCTGTCAGTAATGTGAATCTTTTCAGTATTCTTAATACATAAAGTAGCAGTGTGGTGTGATAAAGACGCTCTCTGCGTTTAACCTGCCTAAATCTGGTGCTCTGTATTAAATGTATTCATTTATCCATTTTGTTTCTTTTCTAACTTTGATTTTTAATTTTGTAAAATTTTACCTTTTAGAAACTAAACACAATTTCAAATCTAATCATATGCTCGACGTATATATTAATTGGAAACAAAACTTATTTTTATGTTTTTTTTAAAGCCTATCAATTTTGTAAAGTATTACGATCTTTACTGAAATAGGTTACAAATTAAAATTCTCACAATGTTTTTTGTCTAAACTACCCGCTCTATCTATAACTTTGTGATTCTACCAAACTGACTCATCCATAATGCCGTTCAGGATATTTTTTTTTATTTCTTTATATTTTTAACAGTGACTGACATTTTTCCCATCTGACATTTCTGAACATTTTTATCCGCTTCGAAAGTTGTAGCAACACTTACTCTAAAAGCTTTATTATTCATTTTTGAAGATGCTACTTGGCACATGTGCGTGCAAAAGCATGCATTTTTCTCCGCTGAGGCTTTTGCACAGGAAGATCTCTGTGTATAGGCTAGG